ACAAAATCATCTGATTTTATCGTGAGAATCTGTCGCATCCGTTTATGATTGTTTTCACAAAATTCCTATCAAATACTGTCCACTTTTTGAGTTTCACAGGTAAGGAGCTAATCAAGTTCTATTAGATTTGACTAGATAATTACTCAGATGGAATAGTTCGTAGAAGAATCTTTTAAAATTTCACTGCACCAAGATCAGATAATCAAACAATGAAATCTCTCACAAGAAATATTTTGTTTTTTACGTAAAAATCCAGCAATTAGATGACAAGATAGTACAAAATTTTACCGTTGTTCTTCTAACATTAGAGTAGTGTCGTAATAAGGATCATTATCTCGGAAATCCTACGGTAAGGCTCATTGCAAGACTCTCGAAACATCTTTTTCCATCGTAAGGTATCACTTTAAGATTATGCGAAATGTTATATGATGGTAAGATCTTGTAAGATTCTTGTAGTACTATTGACTATTAGAGTTTGTGAAACTAGGATTTTTTTTGTACGATTTCATATCATCTCACAATATCCAAAGTGTAAATTTTTGATTTGTGAGATATTTTCAGAATTGCACGGAAATTGTGACCTTTGAGAAACTTCTATCAAGTCCTGTCATATGGTTTTTATAACATTCTAATGACTCTAAACAATCTTATATGAACTTTCAAACAGATCATGTAGGATTTTACGTATAATATGATTTTGCAAGGATCATTTGTCAAAACATGATCTACGTTTAGTGGTTGGCACAATTTCTAGTACTTTTTCTATATACGATTTTGTCTAATCTGAAAGCTCTTATGTCCAATTTTTCAGTGTGATGCTAGAATTTATCAAATATCTGTTGCATCCCATTCGTCGTTCTATTATTGATAACTTCAACAAGATTCTTTACAAGTCCTGATTGACTGACTGATCCACTAGATGCTTATCGGATAAATCTGAATTTTTTCGAACTGCTTTGTGTCCCAGAATAAGTGTTTCTTGATCAAACAAATTGATTCGAAGTTATCAAGAAAATGTTCCACATATTATACTGCTCGAGTTCAAACACATTTTTCCTTTCCAAAAACCAACTTGAAAATTTCTTGCAACTATTGGAAAAGTCAAATATTATGCTCAATCAATTTCACCAATGTATATATCTGAAAAAGTTTGTATTTCTCCGACAACTTGTGTACCGAGGCATCTGCTTGAAAAAATAAATGGTGAATACGAAGATGATTAATTTTTTCGTCTGATAAAGCATCTCTAAACAACAGTCTTTTCTTGCTTAAAATAAATTTGCATTGGACATATGTGCTAATATCTGAAGTGATTTCCCTTCAGTAAACTCATATATATATGCATATGTTTATATGTGCATAACTCGATAGGAGTATAGACTAATATGGCTGACCTATTACGAGACAATCATTATAATCTAAGTCATTGAAATCTAATAGAAGCGAAAAAAAATGAAATGCAAAACAAATAAACAGTCCGAATCTCATATATCTTTATAATTTATTTTTACAAATTGATCTGGTTTTATAGTTGATATATGAATATGAAATTTTGAATGATAAAGATCAATTTATCGATACTCGTTTCGATTCGAAATGAAAAATGATTTTTCATATTATGTACTCATTTATAGATCACTTGTTTTGTCTCTTTTTAGTTAAACAATTTATACTTAATATCACCAAATGATCTCTCAACTTCAATTTCGAGCAGAAAACAAATTTTATCCATGAACGATGATGTTATTATAAGAGATGAAAAGCGTGCTCTGTTCACTTTCTATTGGATTCTTGGAGTGAATGATGAAGAAAATAAAAGAAAAAGAAGGCAACTATTTTTCTAGATACAAATTTCTCCTATGTTAACTTAGATCTATTGTACTTTAGAAGACGTGGAGTCTACTTCACAAGTCAATGTTGTTGCTGCGCTATAATTCTTATTCTGGCAGCACTTACAGCAGCAATTATTATGTTGAGTATGTATTAAAGAAGAAAATATTCAGTTAAATTAATTAAAACGTTTCATAGAAAATTTCATACAAATTAGTTGCTGATAGTTAGTATTTTTCCAAACATGATTGATTTAGATATATACAACGCATTGGATTTTTTCAGACATAATTAATTTCGTTAATTGGATTTCTCATTCCTTTCTTGCAATTTAGTTCATTACTTGCAAAAGTCACAATGTTAAAATAAGAATAACGAGTGAATAGCAAAAAGACGAAACACGAAGTAAGACGCCCTTATAAGAAAAAAACTTCTCTTTCAAGTGCAGAGATAAATAAGACAGGTCCTAACTCTGGTTATCGAGAATAACAATCGTCTACTGAAAAATTTTCACTTGAAATATTCTACATAACTTTAGCGAAGTTAAAAACGTATGTAAGTTCCACATTTCAATCCCAACGCAATTGCTCAAACAAACATTTTTCCCAAACAATTCACTAGTTATGTCTAATATTTTTGTGGTAAACCAAATAAGACTCTGATACCATCAAGCTCGTTTAGCTCGATCCTGAAAACAAGAAAAGATAGTGTAGAATATTCAGTGTCACATTACTATATACATCTTTAAATAAGACTCAGCAAGCTTTTTGTTTTAGCATAATGATCATAAAGTATCGGAATTTATCACCTTTTCAATAATATATAGTTGGTCATTCGTCGGAACGTAAAACATATTTGTTTATATTAATATTGAAATACAGACATATTTCACTAGATTTTGTTGGTGACGATGTGTAAGACATAATTTATTCGAAAATAAAAACACCTGAGAAGACTTTTTTCTAGATCTAAAATATTTGATTAGTGTCCAATACAACTGCATAACTTGTAAGATCTGAAATCAAATACTTCATTCTGAAGTTCAGGTCACGAAATAGAACCACGAAAAAAAAATGGAGATGTTTCTGTATCAACTGGCTTGATAGACTGATTACGGTGGATGTGGATGTCTTCTATTAATGTTCACCCACATCTACATCCTATCTCTCTTAGATTTTTAGAAAAAAATAGAGATAAAATTTTATGACAGATGTTCTTGAACTAGATTTTTCAAGTAAGAGTTTTGACTGTAAACCATCAATCTTAATTCAATTACTTAACTATGAATGTTAACAATTGATATATTATTTGTTGAAAACGTTAGTACTCGATCTTCTTGGTAACAAGAAAACGCAAACTTAGATTCATTTCGAAAGCATTTTATTTTACGTTCTATTTTATTATTATTTGATGACACTGTTTTTTTTTCTGCGTCATCAGTCATAATATCAACCTCTACGAACACTTTGTTCCATCGAGTTCCTCGATTAAAAAAATTTATTATCTAATATCTAGATACTATAAATTTAATCATCGAAATTTATCGAGACTAAGCTGACTCGAAAGTTTACATATCTTCTCACATAGGTCGAACTTTGGTATGGATCCAATCGACTCTATTTGTCAGATTTAATAATAAACTTTCCATTCATTTCAATCTATATCAATTATAATAACAAATTTTTCAACAATGTCACAAATAGTGTTAATCTTTCTGCAATTCAATTTTATCTTGAGTGATCGAAAGATAGATCTGTGCTTGTGTTAGATTCAACCGTTAAGTTGTTAATTATTCAACAGATTTCAACTAAGCTTTAGAAAACAACGGAAATGATGTTGAAATGGAATCAGAACAGCATATAGTACGTTATTAGAATAGCTAATATCTGCTTTGTTCTAATTAATGTCAACGAAAGTAAATAGATATTTTATCTTCATCTGAAGAACCATGAATTTTGTCGTGAAAAAACACTGAGTCTTTTTCGTATTATTGACAGAGTAATAAATTATTCGATATTAGCCAAAATATTGAAAAGTTCGAAGCACCGTTTATTAAATCATAACCTATCAGGACAAAATTATTCTCAAGCATATTGCCTATTCAAAGTATTTTGAAAACAAAATTCAAATTTTTTAAACTCTTAATAAAAAAGTATAACGTTTTTGCCAGTGATTTATGTATTTTCTTTCTATATCTTTATCTTCTGCATAAGATCATTTCATTGCTTAGAGAAATGTGATTGAAAATTTCAAATAGCTTAATAAATTATGAATAGCGAGAGTATTATTACCGTGATTCTTTCACTTCGTTACATTTATTTTCACACATGAAGTAAATTTTTCTCGATTTTCTAGTAACAATATCAAACATAAGGACAACTACAACAACAGGTAAGCTGAAAATAATTAAAATGAAAATTAATTAAAATAATATTCTTATGAAATTTCAAGTAACAACCACAACATCAACAAGTTCAAGTAGAAATACGATTCGGATCTTTCATATTTTACTATTTTTGCATTTGTCTTGTATTTAAAAGCTACGACGACGAGTACAACAAGCATAACAACATGTGAGAAAAATAATATATTCATATGAAATTCTAGCCTGATTATGTTTTTTAATCTATTTAAGCAACAACTTCAAGCACGAGCACATCGACAGCATGTAACGAGAATAAATGCTTTTTTCTTTCAGAATACATGATGAAACGTACATCTTTTTGTTTATTAAAGCAACCACCACCACAACAACGGTAACAGACATACTTAGTTGCATTTCAAGTATGCTTTCAAGTTAAATTACTAATTAATGCTAGTCTCTTTCTCTTTCTGTTTAGACACTGGAAGTTCAGCAATCTCTAATACTTGTCAGTCATTTAATGATAAATAATTACATGTTTAAAATATCATTAATTATTTTAGGTAATGATCTTCAATGGAATCCAATAGGTACGATTATTGTTAATCAATCTAAGAATGCAGCTGCCTTATATATTGGTACAAATTACACTCTATAGATGGCTGACGCCGGTAACAATCATATTCAACAATGGAGCTAATGTGCAACAAGTGCCGAAACAATAGCTGGCAGCAATACAAGTGATGCGGGTTCAACTTCGACTTTGTTGGACAGTCCTGAAGTCATTACTTTTGACAAATATGGATATATGTATGTAGCTGATTATAGTAATCATCGTGAACAATGCTTTCCTCCGAATTCTAATATTGGCATAACTGTTGCTGGAACCGGAACTAAATCAGGTGCATTAACAGATGTAGATCATTTAGCAGCGATTGATGTTGACGACAATTTAAATATTTGTATTGCTGATATACATAATGACCGTATCGTCAAATGGGCTTCGAACGCAACTAGTGGCACTGTTGTAGTTAGTAACAGTCTCATCGATAAGTCCTATGACATCATACTGTCACCTAGTTCATCAAATCAAGTCTATACAAGTAATTCAGACAAAGATAAAGTATATATATGGACACTTGGTAATAATAGTCCAACTTAAACTTTTAGTCAAGTCAATGCTACTAAAAATGCTCTTGCCAAACTGAAAGGCATGGTTTTTGATCCATATGGTAATTTGTATATTGTCGATTCGGATAATGATCGAGTGGTGATGCATTGTGCTAATTCAACAGTTGGCATTGTGGTCGCTGGAGGTAGCAGTACAACACCTGATCTTGATAAACCAACAGCTGTTGCCTTAGATTCAAATCTTAATTTGTATGTGGCCGTTAGTGGTGGCACTAAAGTAACTGAATTTGCTTGGCTATGAATTTCTTCTTTATGATATAAATACATATAGATATTGTGATAGAAATATGCTTGATTTGTGTGCATGTTCATCTAACGATGACAAACAAAATAAGCCACCATGTATTTCGCCATAGTATTAAATGCTCTATCATCTTAATAAGAACGTTAAGTTTGTTAGATATCCTAAATAAAACAGTTCATTGTATAAACAAATGTCTACATACCTTGATGTGTTATTTATCCTGTCGATTTGGGTGTGGGTGTCAGTTTGAGTGTAAGATAAAGCAGGATCCACATGCACATCCTCATAAAAGAACTAGAGTAAATCGTGATAGAAGTCAGTTTATGTCAACATAAAATACACTGCTTAATATAAGTTTGTGTGCTTTCAAACACATATGCAGTCACATATCCACAGGTATAGTTGTCATTTTGGGATTATATGAGATTCTGATGGTAATAGCATTAGTATCTGTTTGTTTTTCTTTGAAAAAAATATTTCGATATTCTGTTATAGTACTATTAAAATGTCTCGCCTAGCAATAGGAAATCGAATGCACGAAATACGTTCATTACTTTTCCAACAAGTTCTGTGGATAATCAGGATAGACTTTAGACAGGTTAATACGTGTAAATTTCTAAATATCGTTTCTATAAGGGTAAAAATGTAAAATTCAAGACATTCTATCTATGAATGATATCCACAACTTGGAGGGCAATGTCGTGAGAATTTACCAAGTTTTAAACGTTTCTTTGTAGGTATTTATCGTAATACGAAATAAAGAAGTTTAGTACATGTTTTCGACTGCTCGAATCACTGTACAGATCAATTATGCATGCAGTTTGTAATAGATTGATTTTGTTTATGCTAAGAAGAAATGAAAGCAGTCTTTTTTTCTGAAATAATACCTATGCCTGTATCTCCTAATAATAGTCAAAATTCGATTTGCATGTAGGTATGGGTGCTTCTTCTTTTTTCACATCCACACCTGCAGAAAATATCTCACAATAAAAGATGAACGAACACAAAATGCAAATTATGAATATTTAGATAAACAGTAAAGATAAGTAGATATATCCTTTGTTGATATCGAAAATGATTGCGCATATTTACTTCGATAAATATTTGATGGTTGTCTAGAATCAATTCGAAATTCTCTAAGTCTTTTTGAATACTGCTTTTAACAAGATCTTTCAAATTTCAGAATGTTTGCGGAAAAAAAATAGTCGAGCATTCAAGATCAGAGTAGTTTTATTTTTTTTTGGTAGAAATTTCAACTTTCCTAGCCTTTCATTGATGCATATTGCATCGTAATCCTTTGATGTCAATGATCGGTATTTTCTTGAAGAATAGAATAAAATACGGATCAATACTTCTAAAGAAAGTCGAACATAATAAATTACTCTAAGACTTATGATTAGTCTTTACACATTTATCAGTAACTTTTATTTTCTAACTCAAATAAATTATTGAACAATATTTAAAACAATTATAACTGCTAACTGATAAATCTTCCTGTTTGGAACTTGGTATTGGTTTAGCTGGTGTTCCCCCTCATAAAAAGTGTTCTACCGTGTGATGATATATCATCACACGGTGGAAAACTTTTTATGAGGGGGAACACCAACTTTAATGTTACCAGTCGAACACCAGCTAAACCAATACCGATATGAAGATCAAACATGTGCTATTCTACAATCACAATTGGAATGAATCATCGAATCATTGTCAAATAGAGAATACTTTAATCTACTAAGTGGGGTCACATGTCAGGTCACGTTTCCTGAAGATTAGATGAGTACAGTAGTTTCTCTAAACAGTTTTCTAAGACTTGGTAAAGTCCGTTTTTGTTTAGGGCCATGTCGAGTTTTTTGAGATATCAATCTTAATTTTGTTATGCTTTATCTGCTTCGTTCGCGTACTAAAATCGATTGTACTACTTTTTCACAAGTGAATATTCAATTATCATTTAACATTCATTTTGTTTTAGTTGAAAATCCTTTTTTTCTTAATTTCAATCAATGAGAGAGATAGACAAGTTGGCTTTTGATGAATTTTTCTTACGGTTTAGCTTCCGAAACTCATTGTTCATAATAAGTAATTATTTGTGAAAAAAACCAATAATAAGATTCATCATTACTTAAAATTAAACTGATATTTTATTATTATGATTGTTGAATTTGTCTTTTTGATCCTTTAGATTCAATTGATGTATGATGAAATTCGCTTCATGAGCCATAGTTTGAATTCTATAAAATAAACTTATATACATGTATTACAAAACAAAGTAAATAATATTTCCTTTTTTCTTTTTTGTTAAAATTAATGCAAGTTGTTGTTCGATATTTGATGTGATAACTGAGGTAATTTTTATTGAATTATTAGACGAAAATAATCATTTAATATAATATATGCTAAGTATATTGAACTTAAATAATATTAATCATTCATTACATTAGTAATTTTATCAGTTGAATGTTTAGTAAAGAAAAGTCATCAGTTATTCATTGTTTCTATTCTAGATGAAGAATTACAATATGAACAGCAGCTAGAAAAGGAATTATAGATTAATAATAATTAAATGATCCAGCAACTATTTGTTGAAATTGGTTTAGTTCTTTTTTATAAATCATCGATTGGAATCATGTTGTGTCGCAAAATCAAAAAGTATACTACATTGATCAAATAATAATAGTGAACAAAATGTCATCAGAAATGTTGTGACACATACTGAATAGAAGAAATAAAATTTGTGTTAAAATAATTCTCAAAACGCATTACATTGACAGTTATTTATAATAAGTGAACTAATATATTTCTTCATTTTTTTATATCAGCGAAGATATCTGTACTTGAAAAAAACCAACACGTTATCAGCAATTTATCAAATGTTAATCTTTTCTTTATAATAAAAAAATTGAATAAATATAGTATCGTTCGGTATCAAAGACTAAGATAGCCAAGTCATCCATTTAATTGATGTTTGTTAGATGCTCAAAACAAAAATTCTATGTGTTCTGTATTTTAATCAATACCCTCCGATCAAGACAACAATATTCAAGAAAAATTTCGAACAATAATTAAAACAACAATTTGTATAGAGAGAACAAAATCTAATTGTTATCTTCCATATTACTCAATGAATGATTTGTTGATGATGATATTTGAATGATAGCTAAGAAAAAAAAGACACCAAAATATAATATTAAATGTGTCTGATAATGCAACGTGAAGATGAGGGATGAGGGTGGTGTCAATGATCACCATTCATTGAGAACTATGTGCATACTTGTTTTTAGATATACAACTCATATAGTGATTTAGATCCGAGGGGGAGGATAGTTTTGGTCAGTAGTGTAGATTAATCTTGTATGGAGAAACATTGCTTTTATTCATTGTTTTTTTTTTCAAATAAATATTTGTTCGACAACATCGATTACTTGCCTCTTCTTCTTTATCTTTTGCAGATGCCCTAATATTCAAGAGATTGAGAATTTTCTGCTCTACAAAAAAGTATCACTTTTGCTTATAAAGTACTGATCTTTTAAGATAAAACCCTTAAAATATTTCAGTCAACAAATTTGGATTATCCTACATAGTGAAGTTTCATGTTCAATAAGACTAGTTCTATTATTCCATTTAAACTTCTGAAGCGAATATTTGCTGACTGAACACAAAGAAATAATAAACAAAGTCAAAGATATCTTTTATTTGCCAGGTACAAAACAATTCATTCGTCAGCTGGCTTAACATTATCTTATATTAATAGTGATTATCCACAGATTATTTTCACATAATCTTGAATGAAAATCTTATATTAAAAACGTTTTTTAAGCTTCCAGCAGAACAATATAAGATTACTGTTTGGATATTGGATAAGAAAAAATATCGGAAAAGTGATGCCGAAAAAAATTTGAATATTGACCCGATAGTAGATGTTGTCTGACTTTGTGCCTTGTGAGTTTCGTTCAAAGACCAGAGTTTTGATTCAGAGATTCAAATCGAGCAACAGAACCAGTTTTGTTTAACATTTACAAACATCGATTATTACTTGAAAGTGAAACTTCATTCTGTAGGATAATCGAATTTTGTTGACTGAAATATTTTGACGGTGAGGGTGCATAAAAAGAAGTTTTTGAAGTTCTTTTTCTTTATTTTTTTATTTTAAAAGATTAGTATTGTATGAGCAAAAGTGATACTATTTTTAGAGCAGAAAGCTCTCAATGTCTTAAACATTAAATGAGATTTTGAGAAAAATAATTAAAGAAGGTAAAATCAGAGCACAAAAAAGGCTCATTTTATCTGCGTCACCTGTTACATGTATCAAGCATTAAATTCTGGCAACTTCAGTCAGTCTTGATAGGCATGCTTTTTTTATTAAATTCTATCATCGCCAAAGAAACGATTCACCTACCATACTTTTAGTGTCTCTACAAGAATCCGAGAATCATTTGAATGCCATTCAAGAAGGTAAAAGTTCTTTTGTTACGATCTATAAAAAACATTGAGCAAAAACGACCAGATATCACTTTTCATAGCATATTTGATAAACAATCAAATTGCTACAATATCATTCAATTAGATCAATACAATTGGTTACGGTTTAATAGTTTTTTTTTGTCAGAGGTTGCAATGATTTCAGTTTTAATTGAATGAAATTTTTTCAAGGCGAAATAATTTCAAATGAAAGAATTCAATCTTGATTCAATGCGACAAAAATCATTCTGACAACCATTATACTTCATCACACAAATACGGAAAACATTCAGATAATTCCAAAACCAATTTTTTAAAATTCTAGATTTTTTTGATTTCGAACAGATTGCAATGAATGAGAAGCGGATTAGAAAGTCGTATAAATTAGAATGCACATGAGAAGCATCATTACGATCCTAGATATACAATACATTTTTTTGTGTTTTTTGAGTACTTCATGCGCTCTTCTTCCTAAGCGTAGTCTTGGCCCTTGTATTACGTCGACAATTGCTGTTACCTTTGTGCATTGTTATTTGTTTTTCCTGTTGAACACATACATAGACATGCTATTGCGTCATCTTTTTCTCTTTGTATGAAAGAATGAGAGTAGATAACAACTATTTATGTCTATGTAAAATACAGAGCAACCTTGTAACAGGCTGGAATGACAGCTCTTATCAACCTCTTTTTGAAGATGTGCAACTGAGATATATGTAAGTTATCACATCATGTTTTTTTTTAGAATAATACTTTTTATTCAAAAGAACACGCAAACGACGATATGTCAATATTTACTCTGTAATTCGTTAGAATTGACTAATCGAAAGATTTTCATCCTTTCACAGTAAGAAATGTTACAAAATTTTACTAATGATCAGTGAGAAAGTCATGTGTTTTCTTTGGAATGATTTAGATCGTAATTTACTGAAAACTGTTAACAGAGTTCTTTTCTTTTTCTAAATTTTTAGAGCTGTTAGTTATTGACAAAACAACGACATCGGTATAATAAGATTACAGTTAACATATTCAAAAATTATATAAGTAACTATAATTATGAAGATTAAAATATATCAAGTCGATGCTTTTACTGATCAGCTGTTTGGCGGTAATCCGGCAGCGATATGTCCATTAGATAAATGGTTACCCGATTCATTGATGCAAAAAATTGCTGCCGAAAATAATCTTGCTGAAACGGCATTTTTTGTACCGAATTCCAACAATAGTAAATATGAAGTTCGTTGGTTTACGCCTGAACTAGAAGTGGACCTTTGTGGTCATGCGACACTGGCAACTGCACATATCATTTTTACAGAAATGTCTCCTTTGAAGGAAGAAATCATCTTTCAGACTATGCAAGCGGGTGAGTTGACAGTTACCCGTCGAAAAGAAGATGGTTTATATACTATCAATTTTCCAGCTCGTCCGATAGCAAAAAGCCGATTTGCCTGATGAACTATTATCAATTTTCGGTAGCAGTAAAGTTCCTGTCGAAATTTATAAAGCAAGAGACTATATGTTAGTTTATGAAAATGAAGCCGATGTTAAACAATTTTCGCCAGACTTGACGACATTAGCTAAAATTGATGGTTCTTTTGGTGTAATTGTTACTGCTCCTGGTAACGAAGTGGATTTTGTTTCTCGAGTTTTTTGGCCAAGCGCTAGTGGTCCTGAAGATCCAGTTACTGGTTCAGCACATTGTAGTCTCATCCCTTATTGGGCTGAACGATTAGGTAAAAACCAGCTGCATGCATACCAAATTTCGGCTCGTAAAGGAGAACTTTGGTGTGAAAATAGAGACAACAGGGTTCTAATATCAGGCAAGGCTTTAACCTATTTAAAAGGTGAAATAATCGTTTGAGTGTGCATGTTGTTACCATAGACAATTGAAGTTTTTCTTTCTGTACGTCTAATATCTTTGTTTCTGTTAATTTCAAATATTGTATTTCATTTCAATATATGCGATTTTTTCTGATTCAATATTTCTTCATATTTCTCTCATCTTGCTTTTATAATACAAATTTTAAAAGGAAAATAGCAACATCGTCATGCAGAATCAGATGGATGCAAACACGAAAAGAATAATATTAGTTCTGATAGATCTATAATAGGCATTTACAAATTCAAAATACTAAATCGATGAAACGGTAAATATTCAAACAACTCTACTAGTGAACTAATTCTCCTCGATCTTTTTATCCAATCTTGAATTCTTTATCGTAATTATTTTTTCTCTTTATCTGATGGTGTAGTGTTAGCTGTTACGTTGAACTTATGGGGACCCCCCCCCTTTCCGGCATTTCTAAGAAACGGCCGATCGAAAATTCCTGAAACTTTCAGGGTAGATAGGTCTCGAGTAGTAGAGCAAAAGTTATCGTGGGTACAAATTTGCCAGATCTCATCTTCATGGGCTTCCAGAGACCCCAAGGTCAAAAACTTGCAAAAAGTTTTCCCCCCGCAAATCTACAGATTTCATCCGTTTGAGCTGGAATTTTTACTGTGGGTAGACGGACTCAATCGGGGTGGGCGTTTTTTTTCAAAAATTCCAAATACTTCAGGCTGAAGAACCAAAATACTGAAGACTTCCCAAAATCTCTAGGTTTTTTGGATCCTAAAAATTTTGCAAAGCCTGCCAAACTTGATTAGTAGAAGGTATCCAAAAAAAAAAAACGGCCAACCCAAATCACTTGAAGTCTCACCAAAAACATTTTCAGCCCGATCGGACTTGAAATGGCGGAGAAAAAGGGGGAAAACTGGTTTTTGATACCCAAAAAACTAGTTTTGAGAAAAATACAAAATAAAAAAAAACTTGTAGAAAAATTTCTTTTTCCGCTTATACGTAAGTATAGGTATACCATATCATAATATAACTTAATGTCAAAGAAAAAAAATTTTTTTTAATGCATAGGTCTCCAAAAAATCTGGTTTTTTGAGAGACTTCCCGACCTTTGATGGTTCTGATTTTTATAGCACACATAGAGGGGACCTTGATACACCTTTACACGAAAAAAAAAAATCGAAAAAAAATTTTTTTGGCTCAGGAAAGGGGGGTCCCCTTAAATAGACTTTTTTGTACAAAATGTCCATCGAGATTTCGAAAAATGTTTTGCTTATAATTCCATAAGAGGGTGTCCGTTTGTGCCTAAAATTTCGCCCTTTTTTCAATTTCTGCCGAGAATAGGTGGTAGAAATTTCAACTCTCAAGCTTTCATTAGCACAGAGAAAATCTAATTTTACATCGAAAATGTTCACCGAGATTCTTTTATCTATATTTTGACAAAAATAACTTCAAATTCCAACTCATCATGCACCATTCGATTTGTTGAAGCTTGGACTACTCGCCTATAATCCCAAATATTTAGTGGGATCTATACGTTGTCCTTTTTCCACCATCAACGTTTCAGCAGCTATACTTTTTACTTTTATATCTTGTTTATAGTTAAGAACTTTCTTTTTCGGATCGTTAGATATGAATAAAGACTAGTTTTTGAATTTTAAGTGTAATGTTACATGTGAATTTACCCTTATGCAAAACTGCTGCATTTCTTACCACGTTTTATTTATAGCGCAAGCGTTTATTTCTACTAGCCGTTTCAATAATAGAATGAATACCACCATGTTTTGAATAACTTTTGATAGGAACAAGATAGAGACCAGCGCTTTTCACCATTCGAAAGAGAAATTTTGGGGGGAGGGAGAATAGAGCAGTATCAAAATCTGATTGGTCAACAATCCACCAATGAGGTGAGTTCTTTGAGGAGATCTTGAAGGGTTTTTCAGCACAATAATGAACCGAAAGGGTATTTTGCTTAGCACAGTTTTGTAGCCCGAAAAATTCTGCATCACCCAGATTAGAAATCAACCTAAGATATCAACTGATGTAGGAGTGGGTGGGTGTGGGTGGGTGTGGGTTCATTTTTCCTTCCTCCGCACATCCATACCCACCCCATCCACACCCCACACCCACACCTTGCGCACAAGATGGTTCACATCAAATCTGAACAAATAGATTTCAGTGAAATGGCATCGTCTAACATCGTACAAGGTGAACAAAATGATAATTTAACGGTAAGATGATACTTGTAAACAATGAAGATTGTTTTTTTTATATTTAGATGTTGAATAAATTCATCCAAACTGCTGCAGATGATGCTGAACGTGTATCATATTATTCGAAACGTGCAAAAGTTTTATTTGATATGAAAAAATGGACTGGTAAATTACTGTCAAGATTATAATTGTTTATGAGTATATGTCTTTTTAGATGTGATGATCGATATAGAGTTTTTGGAAAAGAACCAAGCACTTGATGATGATTTATTAACCATTAAATTGTATGTTAAATTTGTTTTGATAGTAAATCTATATAAAGTGTAATGTTCATTTTAAAGGAAGTCAATGATTCATCATAAAGTAGCAAAAGTTCGAAACTCTATGAAAGATAAACTTGGCACTAAACGTAAGAAAATTTTGTTGCATAAGAAGATGCATCATCTGAAGTTTTTTTTAAATAGTATTCGACAATGCTGAACATGTCGATTTGTATATTAATATCAGCGAAGAGAACATAGATGAAGTTATTAATAGTAAGTTCAAAAACAAATATTATAATTGATTATTTATTTATGCCATGTTCTTTCTGGAGAAGCACACAAGAAAGAATCATACAACATCAAAAAGAAAATACATAGATTAAAATTTAACATGTTATATATTTATTTACTGTTAATGGTTGTTCTTTCTCGTGTTAATCTGAATATACTTAGGTCTGACCAAAAGTTCTGCAATTTAAAAAAAAAAGTTAAAGAAAAAGAGAAAGTTCGAGTTTTATTTTATTAAATGTTCAAAATAGTCCCCATGATTATTTATACAAAGTTCCATCCTTTCTAACAGTTTGTCGAAAGTTTTTTTATATTCTTCTTCAGGAATATTTTTCACCACCTTGGATACCGCACGAGCTAATGATTTTTCATTTGGTTGATCACTTAAATTACACTTGATGTAATCA